GGGGTTTCAAACCCTCACGTCATCATCTACATCTATTACTCACCTCAAGCCGGCCACAAGTCTAGCTCGCTATGCCTTTGCCTTTCGAATCAACCTCTTCGCATGCCGAATCTGATTAAAACCACAACGAATACATTACAATAGGCTAAAGAAACATAACCCAATCGAAAAGACTCGAAAAGCACCAAAATTCACTAAGTTGGCAAAACCCGAGCCCCGGGCCCACTTCTCGAAAAATTACGAAATTTACATCAAAACGATCCTTATCTCGCCATGAGTCTATACATATCAAACTCACAAGAATCGGAGTCCATTTGACCCCTCAAATCATCAATTTAAGCTCTCTTAAGTTTCAAGCCCTAACCTCCATTTTTAGCATTTAATCCCTTAAATTTCAGTGTTCAATCCATGATTTTACACTATATAAACATAATCCGAGTCCAATAGTTCATACCTGATGAAGCCGCTTCGAATTCTCTTCAAAATCGCCCAAGAAACCGCCTAAGCCGAAGTCCAAAATATTTTCTTCTCTTTCAAATTCGTGAACCACTGTTCACTTAAACCCAGACCGTTTTTCCGCTACTGCGGTTAATATGCCGCACCTGCGGTCACCGTGTATGCAACGAAACGATCGCTTATGCGATCTCACTTAAATTCCACCGGACCGCTTATGCGGTCTAGAACCGCTTCTGCGGTCGCCGCATTTGCGGATCCACGTCCACTTCTGCGAAAAACCCTGGTCCCTCAAGGACCGCTTCTGCGACCAACACGCCGCATCTGCGGAACCGCTTATGTGGTCCCTTTTCCGCAGATGCGGAAATGACAGAACCAGCAAACTTCAAACATGCAACAAACTCCGAATTCTCCGTTTAACCACCCGAATTCACCCCGAGGCCCCCGGGACCTCAACCAAAAGCACCTACATGATCTATTACCTTATTCGAACTCGCTCGAACCATCAAAACACTATCGTTAACATCAAAATCCTCAATTATCCTCAAATCAAAGCCTAAGTTTCTTACAAACTTCCGAATTGCACATTCGATCAAAAACCCAACCAAACGATGTCCGAATAACCTGAAAATTTGCACACATATCCAAAATCACATAACGAAGCTACATCAACTCTCAAAATTCCATTTCGACCCCCGGATCAAATTCTCACCCATCCACCGGAATTCGCCAAAATACTAACCTCGCCAATTCAAGCCTAATTCTACACCGGGCCTCCAAAATCAATTCTGATCGCACTCCCAAGTCAGAAATCATCCCCCAAAGCTAATCGAAACACCGGAAATCACATCTGAGCCTTCTAACTCATAAGTCAACATCCGGTTGACCTTTCCAACTTAAGCCTTCCTTAAAGAGACTAAGTGTCTCATTTCCTATCCAAACCAATTCAATTCAACTATAACTCACCCGTTGCTGATAATGAAACATGAAGAAGCAGTAAATTGGGGAAACAAGGCTGTAATACATGAGACGACGGGTCGGGTCGTCACAATATTACTCCATTGAATGTACAAAATCGAATGCATCTCCAACGCATGAATGAAATTACTCCGTTGAATGTACAAAATCGATATGTATCTCCAACGCATGAATGAAATTACTCCAATGAATGTAAGAAATCGACAAGTATATCCAATGTATGAATCAAACAGGCATACGCGACGCTCCAGCGAATAAAAGAAGGCATGTTACCCTCCACCGCCTTTCGGAAAATACGACGGGTTAACATTTCGGCACATTCGAAATAACACCCAACGGCTAAGCCCATCGCCATAGAAGAGTTCGACACCATTCGAACCACGACGGGTTAACATTTCGGCATAGTCAAAACGCGACACTCCAGCGAATAAAAGAAGGCATGTTACCCTCCACCGAACTTCGAAAAATACGACGGGTTAATATTTCGACACAGTCGAAATAACACCCCACGGCCAAGGCCATCTCCATAAGAAGAGCGATACCTTTCGAGGCATGACGGGTTAACATTTCGACACAGTCGAAATAACACCCCACGGCCAAGGCCATCGCCATAAGAAGAGCGATACCTTTCGAGGCACGACGGGTTAATATTTCGACAATCGAAATAACACCCCATGGCCAAGGCCATCGCCATAAGAAGAGTTCGAAACCATTCGAACCACAACGGATTAGCATTTTGACACAGTCGAAAGTAACATCCCTATGGCTAAGGCCAATATTAAAGAAAAAAATTCGACATCACTCAAACCACGACGGGATAACACTTCGACATTAGCTTGAAAGTAACATCCCTACGACTAAGGCCGTTACCAAAGAAAAAAGTTCGACATTAACTCGAAACAACGCCCTTACGGCAAAAGCCGACGCCGAAGACAAAGTCTTGACCTCGCCCGAAACGCAATGGGCTAACATTTCGACAACTCGAAGCAAGCACGACTGCGACAAGGTTCGTCGCCAGATAAAAAATGCAAAACACAACAAGAGAACAATTCAAAGGTACACTATAAAAAGTAATTGTTCCATTACAGTTGTTATATTACAAAAGTTTTTACAAAGGGCTCAAGAACGCCCCCACAAAAATGGCAAAGCAAAATAAATGCAACCAAGTCCTATGCTACGTCACCCCCTGTGGCATACTCCTCATTGTACCAGGAATCGGAGGCAAGCTTGTCCGTATCGTCGAAATCGATATCATCTCCGCCAGGCATACCGGGGTCATAATCACACACCTCTCAAGTGGCACGTGCTTTAATACGCACCACTTGGAGTTCTGCCTCAGATATTCTCCCATCAGCGTGAAGAGACTTATATACGTCAAGCTGGGCTTCGGCATGAACCCATAGCTCATATAATTCTCGAGACACGACAGG